TCGCCGCATTTTTGTGTGTAGTTTCCGTTATGAATATATATATATATATATGAAAATATATAAAATATATATATATATATATATATGAAAATATACACACATACACATGCCTACATACTAACATTCATACACTCATATATAAATACGCACATACAGACATACATACCTGTATACATATATACATACATACATGCATACATATGTACATACACGCACATACATTACATACATACATACATGCATGCAGGCATACAAACAGAGAGACTACAGACAGACATACATACCTGTATACATATATACATACATACATGCATACATATGTACATACACGCACATACATTACATACATACATACATGCATGCAGGCATACAAACAGAGAGACTGGCAACAGACAGACAGACAGAGATACAGACGGGCAGACAGACAGACAGATAGACTGGCATGCAGGCAATCAGGCTGGCAGGCAGGTAGACCAACAGGTAGGTGGGCAGACAAACACTAAGACAGACGGACAGCCGGGGAGACAGACAAAGAGACAGCCGTCCCGTAGGCGGACTGACAGGCAGGTGAACGATGGGCAGATGGATATAAGATGCCGTGATATTTAGCCAGCTAGCCACATATTTCAGGCGTAGGTAGGATTAGTCTAGTGGAATATGTAATCTGCTAAGTTGCGAGAATACGAATATAGATTAGAATGTTCTCCGGTTTGAGTGCATGCGCGACGAATGGTAACCTGTTCGCGTAAAATGACTTACCCCGCCCAAAAGTGTTTCGCACCTTAGAAAACTGAGCACATAATTCGCTCCGTTCAGTTGAGTTCATTTCTGTTTAGATTAGTTGAGTTTAGCCGAGTTGAATTGCGTTGAGTACACTTTAGCTGAGTTCGGTTGAGTCCAGTTGGTTTATGTTTAGTTCGGTTCAGTTAAGTTAAATTTAGTTCAATTCAATTCATTTAAGTTCAGTTCAGTTTTCTTCCGATTTGTTTTTCAGCCCGTTAGGTTCCCCCACTTAACTGGCCTGGGAACTGAATTCCAGGCAACTCTAACCCGGTCACGACAACATGATGATTTATTCAGATAAACAGTGACGCTGGAAATTCGTGTATAGCTGTTTCTATATGTCGAAACAGTTCTTGTGTCCGACATTGCTAAGGAGGTTAGTGAAGTAAGATTTTACCAGCAATTTTGATCGAAAATATGAGCACTGGTTTTCAAAATTACAAAATTGCGACGATCATGTATCGACCACCTTGACTTCCAGCCAACAGAATCCTGGATAAATCACTGTGATAGAACAGTAAGTAGACAAGGCCAACATAATACTCCCACATTCGTGAACGATATCTGTTCCAACCAGAACCGTATATTAGCATCGAAGATCGTCAACATCTGAAACAGCTCGTTCTCGAAGCAGCAGTATTTTCGATTTAATCAGGACTGCTCACAAGGCTGCTTTAGTTTTTAGACAGCGCATGATCAGCTGTGCTTTTCTTGGGGCCCATCGCGTCGGCGTACCTCCAGGGTTCCCCTCAAACATTTGTTCCAGTTGAGCATTCAGATGAAGCGAGCCACCGTTTATGAGATTTAGCTGCATTCGTTTGTGACCCTGCTAAAATTAAATTCTTTTGCACCTGGAGGCATTTATCAACATCTGTCCAGTTCTGGTTCATGTAGTAGTAAAGCTTGAAAGCGACCAACTGGTGAGCCCACGGTGAGCGGAATTGGTCATATAAATACTACGTATCGTACTTAGAGGAGATTAGAGTTTCAATTATCTCCTTCGTGGCTGACAAAATTCGCGTATTCTCCAGTGCCAGCGAACACTTTTTTATTAAAGTGCATCTAAGTGTTGAAAATTCAGACATGCTCACACTCATCAAGACATCATAAGTACTTCTTAATCGTAGACCCATAAACCGCTTCATTTCAAGTGTGCCTCACTGACAATCTCCCTCCAATTTTTTTCCCGGGAATGCTGAATTCTGTTTTGGAATGTAGGACGAATCATTCGTGAGCACACTTTGAAGCATTCTAAGTCATTCGCCTAAAACGTCGCTTGATATGTAGGGTCCTCGGTCCTTTTTATGCGTCCTTTCGTTCCCATGACTAGATTGACTTCCCAGCTGATGTATTGCAATCTGTCAGTCTTCCGGTTTCCCAGGTAGCCCAGCGCATAACTCGTGGAATGAAGCTGTGCAAATAAAATGAAATGGACATGGTTGCTAACGTGGTCTTCTGCCGTTACAAAACGTGCGTTTGAATCAGACACACTGCTCAATTTCAATGTTTCTCATGTTCACTCTAAACGTGCCAGAAATGCATCGTCAAACTTGGCTCCATACACTTCGCTTCGGTTCTCATACAACCATCCAGAAATTCATTGCATGGTTAGTTGAAGTCGTCGTAACCGTGTCAGTTTGTCCAACAATCATACTGGTTATTGTGATTCCTCTGGTTTTGCAAATTTTCTTACAACACTGGCAACCTGATTCTGTAGTGCTACTCATATGTTCGCTGAATACTCTTCAACAATGCACCACCTGTCTCCGCTTTCAGTTTTCACTAGATAGGCGTTCAATTTGGTGTCCACTTAAAACAAGGTTAATAGGAAATTGCAGGCATATAAATCAAAGGCGAATCAACGCCGCCGAGTAGTTGCGTCCTGACGGTTGACTTACAAGTTCCACAGATGTCATTCTTGGGAACAACGTACGAAATCCTTCCGTACTGGATGGTCCTTTTGCTTTTGTTGGACGTGTCAACCCGCAAGCTGCGACGAAAGTTTTTCTGTGAAACGTGAGCTACAATGTACAAACAATCTCACCCTGCACAGAACCAGATGTCGTTTGAAGCTTGGTGACATCCGCTCGGGTCACTGACGATGAGCTACCCAAAGACAATAGATTTATTGTCCCAGCTACCATTCGTGTTGTGACTCCATGTACTC